CTCTGGCCATGTCCAAGACAAGCTGAGAGGTGCAGGGGCCCTTTTTCCCCTTCTCCGTGTCCCACAGTTTCTTGTCTGCTGCCTATACCGGCCAATGCTTGTCTTAGGTTGTTTACCTCAACATGAGGTAACTGACCCATCATTGGCCATTGGCCCTCAATGGCAAAGCAGAGAGGCAGAGGCTATTCCCCTGTCAGGAGGGGACAGACCAAGTCTCCTCAGGATCCTGTTTCTCCAAGGCCTCCTGATTATTTCTAGCTTTGGGGCCGTCCAGCCTGTTGGCAGGGTTACAGCTTCTGAAACCAGGCTGGGCATTTCCCAACATGTTCTTATGTCATTCCCTGACTGTTTTGATTAGAGTGGCTTTGTGCTATAGTTTTATAACTGGTATTGTGATACCTCCAACTTTGTCCTTCTTTCTACATTACTGAATCTTATTGGGGTCTGTTGTCATTCCATATACATTTTTTGAAATCTTTGTTCTAGATCTGAGAAGTATGCCACTGGCATTTTAACAGGAATTGCATTGAATCTATAGATTGTTTTGGTTAATATGGAAATTTTAATGATGTTAATTCTTCCAGTCTTTGAAAATGGTATGTGCTTCTATTTATTTGCATATTCCTCAATTTCTTTCTTCACTGTTCTATAGTTTTACAAGTACAGGTCTCTTATCTTCTTGGTTAAATTTACTCCTAGGTACTTTATTTTTCTTGTTGCTATAGTAAATGGGAATTTTTCCTAGTTTCCCTTTCTGGCATTTCATTGTTGGTGAACAAAAATACCTTCAATTTCTGAATTTGGACCTGTGTCCTGCTATTTTGCCAAATGCACTTATTAGGTTGAGTAGTTTTTTTGATGGAAACAGTAGAATTTTCTATGTATACTATCATGCTGTCTGCAAATAATGACAATTTTACATCCTCCTTTCCAATATGAATGTCTTATGTATTTTTTCTTGTCTGATAACAGTGGCTAGAACTTTCAGTACTGTATTAAATAAGAGTGGTGACAGCAGCCAGCCTAGTCTTGTTCCTGATCTTAGAAGGAAAGCTTTTAGTTTTTGATCATTGAGATATGTTGGCTATAGGTTTCTCACATATGTCTTTTATTATGTTAAGGTATGCTCCCTCTGTTCCCACTTTGCTGAGTGTTTTTATCATAAATGGGTGCTAGATATTGTCAAATACTCTTTCAGTGTCTATTGATATGATCATGTGATTTTTGTCCATTTTGTTTATGTGCTGTTTATTGCACATTTATCATGCAAACTGTTTATCATGTTTATTGATTTGTGAATATTGTACCATCCTTGCATCCCTAGGATGAATCACAATTGATCATGGTGTGTGAACTTTTTAATGTATTACTGAATCTGTATAGCCAATATCTTTAGAGGATTTTAGCATCTATGCCCTTCAGATATTAGCATGTATTTTTCGGTATTTGTTGTGTCTTTACATGGTTTTGGAATTAGAATGACACGTCCTTTTAGAAAGAGTTTGGGAATCTTTCCTCTTGAATTTTTTGGAATAGTTTGAGAAGAATAAGAATTAGTTCTTTAAAATGTCTGGCAAATTTCATTTTACTAAACCAGATGTAAAGCCATCCAGTTGAGGGCTTTTGCGTGCCAGGAGTTTTTTTGATTACTGCTTCAAATTCACTATTCAGGGCTTTCTGCTTCTTCTTGGCACAATGCATGTTTCTAGAAATTTGTCCATTTCTGCCAAGTTATCTAATTTCTTGGCTTATAATGTTTCATAGTAATTTCTTACAACCCTTTGTATTTCTGTGGTACTGGTTGTAACTTTGACTCCTTCATTTCTGATTTTATTTTTCTGTGTCCTCTTCTTTTTCCTTGATAAATCTGGTTAAATGTTTGTAAATTTTGTTTACCATTTCAAAGAATCAGCTCCTAATTTATGGGCCCCTTGAATTGTTCTTTTAATCTCTATGTCATTTAATTCTGTTCTGCTCTTGATTGTTTCCTTCTTTCTGCTCACTCTGGGCTCTGTTTTTGCTACCCCTATAGTTCTTGTATATGTAGAATTAGATTGTGTATTTGAAATGTTCCAAATTTTTGAAATAAATGTTTAAAAAAATCCCATTTTTTATAGCAAAAAGAAAGATAAAGTACCTATGAATAAACTTAACCAATGAGGTAAACAACCTGTACTCAGAAAATTACACAATGCTTAAGAAAGAAATTAAGGAAAACACAAATAAATGGAAGCATATACTGTGTTCATGGATTTGAAGAATTAACATCAGCAAAATGTCCATACTCTCCAAAGCAATTTATAGATTCAATGCAATCTTTATTGAAATACCAACGACATATTTTGCAGATATAGAACAACATTTCAACAATTTATATGGAATCATAAATGACCCTGAATATCCCCCAGCAATTATGAGAAAGAAGAAAAAATCAGGAGGGATAATAATACCTGATATCAAACTATGTTACAAGGCCACTGCAATCAAAACAGTCTGGTACTGGCCTAGGAACAGACACAAAGATCAATGTAACTGAATAGAGAGCCCAGGAATAAACCCATGTCTCCATGGTCAATGAATATTTGACAAGGAGGTAAAAGCATAAAATGGAGTAAAAATAGCCTCTTCAACAAATGGTTTTGGGAAATCTGGACAGCTGCATGCAAAAAAATGAAACTCAACCACCAACTTACACCATACACAGAAATAAACTCTAGATGGATAAAAGACTTAAACATAAGTCATGACACCATAAAAGTCCTACAGGAGAACATAAGCATGATAATTTCAGATATTCCATGCAGCAATATTTTCACCGATATGTCCTCTAGAGCAATAGATATAATAGAAAGAATAAGTAAATGGGAATACATCAAATTAAAATGATTCTGCACACCTAAAGAAAATATCAAAATCAACAGGGAATCAACCATATAGGAAAATATATTTGCCAATGATATTTTAGACAGGGTTTGATCTCCAAAATAAATAGAGTATTTCCAGGACTCCATATCAGGAATACAAACCATCCAATTCACAAATGGGCAGAAAACCCGAACAGATATTTCTCCAAGAAGGACATACAGAAGGCCCATAGGCATATGTAAGGATTTTCATCACTAGCCATCAGAAAGATGCAAATTAAAACCACAATGAAGTACTACTTCACACCAGTCAGAGTGACCACCATAAAAAAAATCAACAAACAAGTGCTGGCAAGGTTTTAGAGAAAACGGAACTCTAGCACACTGTTGGTAAGAATGCAGACTGGTGCAACCACTGTGAAAAACAGTATGGAATTTCCTCAGAAAAACTAAAAACAGAACTACCTCTTGACCTGGCAATTCCGCTGCTGGGATTATACCCTACGAATCCTAAAACACCAATTCAAAAGAGTCTATGCACCCCAACGTTCATAGCAGCATTATTTACAATAATCAAGTGCTGGAAACACCCTAAGTGCCCATCAGTAAATGAGTGGATCAAAAAACTGTGGTACATTTACACAATGGAATACTATGCAGCAGAAAGAAAGAAGGAACTCCTATCCTTCATGGCACAATGGATGGGCTGGAGAGTATTATGCTACGCTAAGTGAAATAAGCCAGGCAGTAAAGCACAACTACCATATGATGTCACCTATAAGTGTAACCTAATCAACAAAACAAACACATGAACAAAATAGAACCAGAAACATGGAAATGAAGATCAAACTGACAGTGACCAGAGGGGAGTGGGAGACTATCGGGGAAAGAACAGGAAAAGTCAAGTCATGGGACATGTATAAAGGATCCATAGACAGAGATAATGTGGGAAGAATTGAAAAGTGGAAGGTGGTGGTTGGTAGGGCAGTGGAGAGTAATGGGGAGAAATGGGGACAACTGTAGTAATCAACAATTTTTTTAATTAAAAAAAGAAAAATGTTTCATGTGCATTTGAAAAGAATGTATGTATTTCTCCTTTGGTTTGGAAGGTTCTGTATATATCAGTTAACTACATTTGATCCTGAGTGTTATTCAGTGTTAAAATATCCTTGTTAATTCTTAGCTTGGAAAATCTATCCTTTGTTGATAGTGGGGTGTTAAAATCCTCTACAATGACTGTGTTGTTATCAATATCTTTTGTGAAATCCTTCAAGATTTTCTTTATATATTTTGGTGTTCCTATCTTGGGTGCATATCATACAATTACAAGGGTCATATCCTCCTATAGCAATATCACCTTAAGTATTATATAGTGACCTATTTGTCCCTTTTTATGGCCTTTGTTTTGAAATCTTTTTTGTTTTATATAAATATTGCTACCTTGGCCTTTTTTTTTTCCTGTCCATTTGCTTGGAGTATTTTTCCAACCCTTCATTTCAGTCTGTATAGGTCTGTTGTTGTGAAGTGGGTCTCTTTCAGACAGCATACATGAAGCTCCTGTGTTCTTACTCATTCAGCTATCCTAAGTATTTTGATTGGAGCATATAATTCATTTACGTTAAAGGATATTATTGACAGGTACTTATTCATTGCCATTTTTCTGTACCTGTGTTTTCTCTCTCTCTCTCTCTCTCTCTCTCGCCTCTCATTTCTTCTCCTTTTTATTGCAGTCCCATTAGGATCTCATGTTGATTGGCTTGGTGGAGATGCACTCTTTTAGCATTATTTTGTTGGGGAGGCTCTTTATTTCTCCTTTCATTTCAAATGAAGCCTTGCTGGAATCTTCGTTGGAAGTCCATGCTTTTTATTACCTGGATTATTTTGTGCAAATCTCATCTGTCTTGTAGTGTTTCTGTTGAGAAATCAGTTGATAGCTTTATGAGAGTGCCATTGTATGTTACTAGCTGTTACTCTGTTGCTGCTTTTATAATTATTTGTCTTTGAAAAATCAAGATGGCATATCAGTGAATGGAAGTCATGCTGAACACCTCCAAGGACTAATCTGGAATTACAACTAGATTGGGGAGAAATTACCTGGAACAAACAACTTAACAATAGCAAGAGAGGAACCTTATAGTGCTCTCTTCAGCAGCACATACAATAAAATTGGAACAATACAGATAAGATTACCATGGCCCCTGCACAAGGATGATACACAAATTTGTTAGGTGTTCCAAATTTTTCAGTCATAGGATCAACCAGATACTGGTTCTTTGATATGATAAACAGAATTGACAAGCCTTTAAGTATATTCATCAAAAAAAGGGGGGGTGGAGAGGAACCAAATAAATAATAGCAGAAATGAAAGAGGAGAAATAACACCTGGCAGGAAATAAATACAAAGGACGGTTAGAAATTACTATGAACAATTATATGCCAAGAAATTTGAAAACTTTGATGAAATGGACAAGTTTCCAGAAAAATATAACCTTCCAACATTGAATGAAGAAGAAGCAGAAAGCCTGAACAAACCTATAAGAGCTGGGGAAACTGAGGCAGTAATCAAAAAACTCCCTGCACACAAAAGACCTGGACCAGTTTCAAAGGAGAATTTTACAAAATATTAAGGAGGAGCTAATCCCTGTCCTTCTCAGACTATTCCAAAAAATCTAAGAGGAGAGAAGCCTCCCAAACCCTCTTTATGAGGCCAGCATTATCATAATCCCAAAACCAAATAGAGACACAACCAAGAAAAAAAACTACAGGCCAATATTACTGATGAACATAGACGCTAAAATCCTCAACAAAAACTTAGCAAACTGCACCCAAAAATACATTAAAAAGATCACACACCTTGGCCAAGTGGGATTCATATCAGGGATGCAAGGATGGTTCCATATTCGCAAATCAATAAACATGATACATCACATAAACAAAAGGAATGACAAGAAGCACACGATCATATCCATAGATGTGGAAAAATCATTTGATAAGATACAGCCCCCATTTATGATAAAAACATTTAGCAAAGTGGGAATAAAAGAGGCATACCTCAAAATAATAAAGGCCATATATGAAAAAACTTACAGCCAACCTCATACTCAATGGGTAAAAACTAAAACCTTTCCCACTAGGATCAGAAACAAGACAAGGATTTTTTTTCACCACTTCAACTCAACATAGTTTTGGAAGCCCTAATTACGGCGATCAGAATAAAAACATAAATAAAACGCATCCAAATTGGAAAGGAGGAAATAAAACTATCATTGTTTGCAGATGACATGATAGAATACATAGAAAACCCTATAGACTCCATCAAAAAACTACTTAACCTAACAGATAATTTGGCAAAACAGCAGGATACAAAGTTAATAATCAGAAATCGAAGGCATTTATGTACACCAAAAATGAAATATCACAAGAAGAAAATAGAGGAAAAAGTCCTCTTTGCTATAGAAACAAGAAAAATAAAGTGCATGGGAATAAACTTAACCCAGAAGGTAAAAGACTCATATGCAGAAAACTATACAACGTTGAAAAGAGAAAGTAAGGAAGACACAAATAAATAGAAGCATACACCATGTTCATGGATTGGAAGAATTAACATCATCAAATGTCCATGCTACCCAAAGCAATTTATAGATGCAAAGCGATCCCTATTAAATACCAATGATGTATTTCACAGACATAGAAAAAACATTTAAAAATATTTATATGGAACCATAAATGACCCCCAAAACCTGCAGAAATTTTAGGTAGAAAAACAAAGTAGGAGGGATCACAACATCCGACATCAAACTCTGTTACAAGGCTGCTGTAATCAAAACAGTCTGATACTGGCATAGGAAAAAACACATAGATCAATGGAACAGAACAGGGACCCCAGAAAAAAACCCATGCCTCTGTGGTAATGAATATTTGACAAAAGGTGCAGAAGCATAAGATGGAGTAAACATAGCCTTTTCAACAAATGGTGTTGGGAGAGCTGGACAGTTACATGCAAAAAATTGAAATTCAACCACCATCTTACACCATACACAAAGATAAACTCAAGATGTATAAAAGACTTAAATATAAGTCACAACACCATAAAAGTCCTAGAGGAGAACATAGGCAGGAAACTCTCAGATAGCCCATGCAGCAATATTTTCACCAATATGTCCCCTAGAGCAAGGGACATAAAGAGAAAAATAAACAACTGGGACTTCATCAAATTAAGAAGCTACTGCATGGCAAAAAAAAAAAAAAAACTTAAGCAAAATGAAAACGAGGCCAAACATATGGCAAAATATATTTGCCAATGATACCTCCAACTGGGGTTTGTTATCCAAAATACATAAAGAATTCACACGACTCAACTCCAGGAAGACAAACAATCCAATGAAACAATGGGCAAAGGACCTGAACAGACACTTCTCCAAGGAGGACATACAGAGGGCCCAGCGACATATGAATGGTTGCTCATCATCACTAGCCATCAGATAAATGCAAATTAAAATCACAATGAGATGTCACTTCACACCGGTCAGAATGGCCATCATAAATAAATCAATAAACAATGGATGCTGGCAAGGTTGTGGAGAAAAGAGAACACTGTTGTTAGGAATGCAGACTGGTATATCCACTCTGGAGAACAATTTGGAATTTCCTCAAAAAACTAAATATGGAACTGCCTTTTGACCTAATGATTCCACTACTGGGATTATTCCCTAAAAATCCCAAAACACCAAATCAAAAGAACCTATGCACCCCAATGTTCATAGAAGCACGATTTACCATAGCAACATGCTTGAAGCAACCAAAGTGCCCATTAGTAAATGAGTGGATCAAAAAACTATGGTACATTTACACAATGGAATACTATGCAGCAGAAAGAAAGAAAGAGCTACTACCCTTTACGACAGCATGGATGGAACTGGAGAGCATTATGCTAAGTAAAATAAGCCAGGGCAAAAGATAAATACCATAATATCTCACCTATAAGTGGAACCCAATCAGCACAACAAGCAGGCAAGGAAAATATGACCGGCGACATTGAAAGAAAGATGAAACTGATGGGGATGTGAGGGAGGGATTCAGGGGTGTATTGGGAAAAGGAAGGGGAACTTTCAGATCAAGGAATAGGTGTTAATGACACATGGACAAAGCCAAAGTGAGGAAGGATTGAGATAGGGAGGTGGGGTGGGTGGGGCAGGGGAGAGTGATGGTAGGTAAGTGGAGACAAATGTATTTGAAAAAAATTTTTAAAGGAAATAAATAACTTAAAAATAAATAAATAAAAATTTAAAAAGAGGGGAGCCTTATAACGTCAGACAGACGGAAGAATCAGCTTTAGGAAAACCTGACTGGTAAGTAGTGTCATAGAGATTCAAGAAGGGGTGCCCTTGGGCAGCAGCACCAGAAACATATTGAAACAGCCTGTTGGATCCCCCTGAGAAGAGTGGGGTCGAAACCATTAGTGGGGATCTACAGAACCGCAGTCCAAAAAGGATACAGATAACAACAACCTGTGAAAAGCAGCAGGGTTGCTCTCTGACAGAGACAGGCAGCTAGAGATGCAAAGAGCCTTTATAAGGCCAACATATAAATTTCTATTTGCAGCCACTCTCCTGGTCTCTGGCAAACACAGGGCAGAGTTGGCTAGAGATGCTTGAGAAGATCCTGGGGAAGGAGAACTAGGGACACAACTGAGAGAGTAGCCAGTGGGATCCAGAGCTGACTCATCCCCCATACAGCAGCAGCCATCTGGCACAGGCAGACCACACCCCTGAGCAGCAGCTGCGTGAGAGAACCCAATAACAGCACCCCCAGAAGGGACTGTGCCCCACCTTGTGTTGTCTAAGCCTGACTGCTGTGATGAGATTTACAACAGGAAGAGACAGACAATAGATTCCTGGAAGTCTCCTAAAGACTGCCTAAGGTCAGACAGGGACTACATCTGACATCATCAGAAGCAGATACAAAAAGAAAAAACAGCAGAGTCCATAGAATTTCACACCACAAAGACAGGAACTCACTACAGATGAATTGAAAAAGCAGAAGCAAGAAAGATGAGTCTCAAAAATAACGGGAAGACAAAGAAACACCCCCCAGTCAAATGGGAAAGGAGGAATCCCCAGAAAGAGAACTAAATGAAATAGAAGCAAGTAAACTCTCAGATACAGAGTTCAAAACAATGGTTCTAAGGAACCTCAATAGCTCAGTGAGCTCAAAAGAATTATAAAAACTACAGTGAAATTATGAGGAACTTACTGCAAACTATATCAGCATGAAAAATGACGTAGAGAAAGGACATAGAAAAAGGACATCAAGAGTAATCACCTGGAAAACAGAGGAGCGATAGTGGAAGAGGAGCCTTGGTGCCGCGCACAGTGGATTCTACTCTCACACATCCCAACGGGTGAGAAGTCCGGTGGAGGCACAAGAGGGTGGGCTGGGTGCCCACGGGCACTGGCACCAGAGGGACATTGAAACGGCCAGTTAAATTCCCCGGAGAAGAACGGGGTCTGAATCATAAACAGGAACCCCTAAACTACAGCAGCTAAAACCAAGAAAATACAGACAAAACACAACCCCGAAAACCTTAGGGTCACTCTCTGCCAGAGACAGGTGGCTGGGGATGCAAAGAGACATTTAAAGGGCCAACGCAAAAGTTGCAGTGGCAGCCACCCTCCTTGATCTCTGGGTAGAGGCGGCAGCAGGGTGGGCTGGTGCCTGGGAAAAGATGGGTGAGGAAAACTCTGTGAAGAGAACTCACACGGCGGCCGGTGGAGCCCCGGTGATGGCACGCCTCCCACTCTGCAGCTACCATCTCATTCAGGCATAAGGGAATCAATTAACCTGCCTTTTGTGCACACCGCACTCACCTTGTAAGCGTGTGAGCTGTGGGGCTGAGTGCAGACTGGCTGGGAGAGCCTTGAGGAGACACTGGAGATGGAGGCGTTGGGGAAAGAACGGGAGGAGGAACCAGGGAGCCCCGACTCCCTCCCCTTTCCGTAGTCTCCATTGTGGGCTGGAAAGGCGCGCTCCCCAAAGAGGCAGAAGAGGGGCACGCAGGAACCAGACTGCCTGCGATTGAAACGCAGGCCGCACAGATGGTGGATCCTTGTCCAAAGGGGTCACAGAACTGCCCAGAGACCCCTGAGGAGAGACTAGAAACAGAGGTGTTGGGGAAAGAACGGGAGGAGGAACCGTGGAGTCCCGACTCCTTCTCCTTGCCATAGTCTCCATTGCGGGGGAAGAG